CATCCACGCCATGAGAACTGGGCAAGATTTTCTCTGTGCCTCTAACTGGCCAACCTCCCAGAGTTGGGGTGGGGGTGAGTAAAAACAAGGATGAGTGTTCTTTCCGGTTCCTCACAGGGGCTGTGTTCTCCGTGGGCAATTCCTCTGCCCAGAACATTTTCTCCACTAACCGCTCACACTCCACGCTTCAGAGCAGGCTCCAGGCAGGCACCGTGGCTGTAAAGTCTCCCCTGACACCCTGCCTGATTCATTCCATTGTCCCCATGACAGGCCCTGGAACACTTCACACATTCCCTTAGAACTCAACATCCTGGGCTGTAATCTTTCACTGTCTGCCTCCACCAGCCGACTGCGAGCCCGCTGGAGGCCGCTCACCGTTTGGTCCTGCATCCAGCATAGTGCTTGGCACGTACGTGATAAATAAGGACTTGCGGAACAAACAGATGAATGAATGGGTGAATAAATGAAGGCATGTGTGAACCAGTGAATTACTAAGTGCTGTCACAGCCAAGGGAAAGCTAAAACCCTATCATGTTTTGGATAGCTTACCTCAGATTTCCCAGGAGACTTGCTGAGGTTTTTTACAGCATCTGTAAAAATAATAGTAATAGTAGCTCCAATAGCCTGTTGATACCGTTGTAAATTCCCAAAAGGTTTTCCCAGGTGTGTTTCAGAAGAGGAAGAGCAGGCACTGATTCCCTGCCCTCAGTCTCCCTCCCTGCCTCCCCGTTTCTTCTTCCCACCTATGTCCTCACCTCTCTGTCTCTGTCTGTCTCTATTTCACTGTCCTCATTCTTCCTCTCTTTCACAGTCTCTGTCTCTGTCTTTGCCTGGGTTTCTTTCTCTCCCCATTGTTCCTCTCTCCTCTCTCTCTCTCTTTCACTCTCTCCACCTGTTTCTGTCTCTTCCCTCTCTCTCAATCTCCCTCTCTCTTTTCTCTTCTCTCCCCCTTCCTCTTTCTGTCTCTTTTTCTTTCACTGTTTCTGCCTCTTTCTCCTTCCTCTCTCTTTCTCCCTCTCCCTTCTCCTTCTCTCCCTCCGTCTCTGTCTCTTACACTATCTTTGCTTCTGTTTGTCTCTCCTCTCTCCCTCCCTCCGCCTCTATCTCTATCTCTTTCACTATCTCTGCCTCTGTTTCTCTCTCTTCTCACTCTCTCTGTCTTTCTCCGTGTCTCTCCTCTCTCTCCCTCCTTTGTCTCTATCTTTCTCCTTCACTGTCTACCTGATTCACTCTCTCTTCCCTCTCCCTCTGTCTTTTCTCTCTCCCGATTCCTCTATCCCTGCTTCTATATCTCTCTTTCACTATCTCTGCCTCTGTTTCTCTCTCCCCACACTTTGTTTCTCTCTCTCTCTCTCTCCCCTTGTCTCTATCTTTCTCTTCATTATCTCGCCTCTCTCTCTTCTTTCTCCCTCTCCCTTCTCCTCCCCCGCCCGTCCATCTTTTGGGTACTCTCCATCATTTCCCTCCCCATCCCCATTCCCTCTCCACTGTGTGCCATGCATCTCACAGAGAAGATTTCACTTTCCCAGACGCCCGGTGCTGCCTCATTTGTACTTTGGGAGAAACATCCCCTTACCATGGTCGAGAATGTGGACTTTGGGCTTGGGAGCCAGACAGATTCAGCTGGTTCCAAGCCCCGTTCTTCCACCTACTAGTCTGTGACCTTGGTCAAGAGGTCTAACTAACCTCTCCGAGCCTCAGCTTCGTTATGAGCAAAATGAGGTGAAAATGCCCCCTCTCAAAGGACGGCTGCAAGGATTAAATGAGATGATGCTTGGGAAATGCTTAGCACAGTGGCAAAACTCCATAAATGCGAGCTCTCTTGTTACTATCAGTTCTACTATGGTGATTTTTTTCTTGTATTGTCTGCAAACATTATTAATACCCAGGAGATCATTGTTGAAGATGACAAACACCTCCGGACTGAATAGCCCCACCACCACGCCAATCCCAGGATCATTGCAGCCCCTTCCTCCCTCCCCCAAATAGATGACCACCAAAGCCCAGTTGGCTCTGGTTCTGACCCTCTGGTCTTCTATGCCCACTTTAATTTGGGCAGAATCTATCTGGATAGAGATTCCCTAAGCCTGGCTGTCCCAAAAAATTATCTGAAGAGTTTTTAGTAATTGTAAATATCTGGGGTGAGTCAAGGAGAGTCTCACTCCATAGGTCTGGGGTGACACCCAGGAATTGGGTATTTTCAAAAGCATCCAGAGCAATTCTGATTGGAGAACAGGGATTCAAGCTTCTGGTCTAAACTCAGCGGCTACTCAAGTGATACTAAGTGAGTCAATCAATAGGAGATTGTAAATGAATAAAGGCATAAATGAGTAGATGGATGGGTGCATGGATGGATGGATGGGTGGATGGATGGACGGATGGATAGATAGATAGATAGATGAATAATAGGTCTGCCTCCATGGCAAGAAATGCTAGTATTTTTCCCCAGACCTATGCTCTGGCCTCCAAAATGTGCGTCCTTTTGCTCTGTGGCTTTTCAGAGCACAACACTTAGCTGCTACCCTGTTCCTTTTCTTCCTTTTCTTCTCTGCACCTAAATCCCATCCTTTCCCTTTCCTGGTGCCTATTTCCTCCATCCTCTCTCCCTCCTCACTTCGCCCCCTCCTTTTAGCTCCCACTTCTCTTGACGGCTTCCCCCTCACCATGCTGAAACATTTGCAAGCTGGAGGTTATCCCAAGACACTTTCATGAGAAGAGGCTTTGGACACAGCAGTTGCACAAACAGTTTTATTTGATGAACCACAGTGACTAACAGGGTCAGAAGACAGCGCAGACATTCTGAAGAAGGCACTGGGGGAGGTCAGGGGGTATCACAGCAGCCAGCCTCCTCTGCTTCTGTCCCAGATCACAGATGAGTCCCAGGCAGGAAGTCTCTGCAGGTCACCCACGGGGGCCTCAGAGGGACAACTTCTTCCCTTCTAGAAGCCTCTACCAGCATTCACTGGATGCTCTGAGGGCAGCTCTGGGCAGAGGAGGTGACTCTGTGGAAGATGCTGTCTTAAGATGGGGAGACTAGGCTGTAAGGAGCCCTTCCCCTCTCCTCCTCACTCTGCCCCCTGAGCCGGCGCCATTCCAGGGAGGGTCAAGATGTCCATTCATATCAAGCTGGGCTTTTCTTATCTCCATCGCCCATGTCTTGTCCTTCACTTTTACAGTCCTCCAAGAACAAAACCCGGAATAGACACTCCCCGCCTCTAGCTCACAAAGGCCCCACTATTAATCTCATCCTCACAGTCTCTCTGGCAGTGTAGACATCATGCCATCTGCCCCATCACAGTCTCTATTCCCAGATCCCCAATCCAGTAGAAGCCAAGAGGTCCAATCCTGAGGGTAGGAAGAGAAAAAAACCCACCCAGTGCCTTTTGGCCCATGGCAAGCAGACCTCCTTAGGAAGAGGACCACTGACTCTGGAACAAGAAAGGATGATGAGGGCAATGCTCATAAATTTGAAGCCAGGTGGGGAGGCACCAGAAAGGGGCCAAGGGAAGCTCTCAACCAGCCTCTTACTTCCTTCATGGAGCCCAAGAAGGAGCGGGAACCCAGCTCAGTAGGACGCCCCCAAGCCTTGGCGCCAGCTGCTTTGGGGAGGAACCTCCCTACAGGAAGCCTGGTGCAAACATTAACTTCTCTCCTAAAGCACGGACCAGCCGTTGGAGCCCCCAAATCCAGTGGGGGGATGGATTCATTTTTATTCTACATTCTTCATTGCCTCAGTGTGTCCCTGCCCCCCACCACCCCCTGCCAAGGGTAATGTATGAACAGCAGAGATGCAGTGGAGTGGGGGGTGGGAGGAGGTTCGTCCAAATGATCCAGGCACACTGCTGTTCATGCCAGGCTTGTCCATATAGACATGTAAGTACAACACACAGAGGCGAGGCAGGCATCTCCATCCCAAACAACATGACTCTTGGCACCAAGTAGTACTAGTGCCCAAGAAAGAAATCAGTGTGATGGGGTAAGATGGGGAGACGAGGAAAACCTTCAGCTCACAGTTCTGCAGGAAGTCAGAGACAGAAGGACTTGGGGAGCGAGCCAAGCAGTGTCTGGACTAAATGCAGACACCCCTCCATCCTCTCTCTCTAGTTTCCCTTCCCAACTCCCCACTCACATAATGAAACCAAGGAGTACATCCATTCATCAGCCCTGCTGCCTTCCAATTCCCATAGAAAATAGAGGAAGGATGAAAGGGTCTGCGGACAATTTGGAGAAAGCATATCTAGTCAGTGATGTGGTCCCATGGGGGAACTGCAGGAATCACCCTAGCCCCAGTGCCCAAAATGACAAGGAAGTGATCCAATTTTAGGGCAAGCTCTGGAGCTCCCATATCTAAGGGCTGGAGTGCTAATTACCTGCTGACACACAGCCCACCCCCACCCCAGCCCATTCCCTGCCTCACACTCAGAAAACAGGATAGAGAGCTTACACAGGGTCAGTCTCTGCAAGCTTTGGGATCCTTAACCCTTAGTAGCCCTTCAGAACAAGAACGTAGACAGGGGAGAAGGAGGGATGGACGGAGGGGGGATGAGCTATAGGAGGGGATTGGTGCCAGAAGGCAGGGATGAGGAGCGACAGCTGCAGAGAGTGTTGGGGGGAAAAACTACAAGGAAAGGAGGGAGAAAAGACGGTTGCAGATCTAAGAAAGCAGCGGAGGGAAACAAGCTTTTATTGAGTCCAGACTGAGGCTTCAACATTTTAAGATCAATATGACTTTCCCCCATTTCATACCAATGGAGAAACTGAGGCTGAGTGAGATTAAATGGCTTGTGCAAGGTCAGGTCCGTAGTGCCCAGTCTCTTTCCCCTAAACCACAAACCTCTGAGAAGGAATAAAGCAGTAGAGGAGGACAGGGCGGGGCAGGAGTCAGGGGGCAGTTAAAGGATGTGCACAGGAGAAGGAGTAGCCACACTACCTGATTTTCAGAAAGCAAGGGCAAAGGCTGGGGAGGGCTGAGGGCACCAGGCTTCTCTCCGCTCCCGGCCCTAGTCAACCACAAGGGTCTCCTGGCTGTAGGGGATGGATTTCTCGTGCATCTGTTCTCCACCCTTGCCCATGTTGGGGCCAGGCCCCTGGCTGTGCCCCGAAGAGTAGCTGGCTGACTTCTCCCCACTGCTGCTGTGGGAGGTGCCCGCACATCTGCTCTGGCCACAGCAGAGCATGGAGGTGCAGGCCTGGCGGAAGCGGGGATCGAAGAAGGCATAGAGGAAAGGGTTGAGGCAGCTGTTGACGTAGCTGATGCAGGTGCAGTAGGGGAAGACGTTCATGAGGAAGAGGTCAAAGTCACAGGGCCAGTGCAGCAGGCTGCCCAGCATGTACAGCGTCTTCACCAGGTGGTAGGGCATCCAGCACAGGGCAAAGGTCACCACCAGCACCACGATGATGCTGAGCAGCCGGCGCCGCTTCCGCAGGCCCTCGATGCGCTCCTTGCGGAAGTGGCCAGCGATGGTTTGGGCGATGAAGAAGTAACAGGTCAGCATGATGGTGAAGGGCACCACGAAGCCCACGGTGGTGGACGAGACCCCCAGGCCCACCTCCCAGGCCCAATCCGAGCTCACAGTGGCCACCATGGAGTAGTCCATGTAGCACTGCACCTTGGTGGTGTTCTCCAGGTCCCCGGTGGTGCGGAACACCATGACAGGCATGGCCAGGAGGGCGGCCAGCACCCACAGGACCACCGTGGCCACGGCCCCGCTGACCCGCAGCCTCAGCCGAGCGTTGGCCACTGGCCTCACGATGGCCAGGTAGCGGTCGAAGCTGAGGCCGGTGAGGCAGAAGACGCTGGCGTACATGTTGACAAAGATGAGGTAGCTGCTGAGCTTGCAGGAGAAGGTCCCAAAGGGCCAGTCATAGTCCCGGTACGTGTAGGTAGCCCACAGGGGCAGCGTCACCACGAAGGTCAGGTCAGCCACTGCCAGGCTGGCGATGAAGATATCAGCCGAGCGCCTCTTCTCCCGGCTGCTCCGAAACACGGTCCAGAGCACCAGACCGTTGCCCGTGGTGCCCAGGAGGAAGACCAACATGTAGATGGCAGGGATGAGGGCCCCCGAGGATTTCCAGTCTGTGTACTCACACTCAGACTGGTTGTCTGCCCCATAGTAGTTGTCAAAATCACCACCTTCCTCCATGCTGGGGAGTGGAGAGAAGACGGGCAGGGGGTCCCAGGGACACCAGTTCCGTGGCTCTGTCACCCACTCTGCAAGCAGCCTGAATTTCTGGCTTGAGCCTCAGAGGGTAAGAAGGGCTGAAGATGGCCAGAGTCCTTCCCAGCACTCAGGAGGAGCTGCCTCTGGGTTCTGCAGACCCTGGAGGAAGCCTGTCTCCTGCAGAATTTCCTCCACCCTCTCCTGCCTTGCCCCCGTCTCAGTTAAGACACTTCCTTGCACCCTCCTGCGTCCCTGTCTCCTCCTTGACTCGTCATTCCCTCCTCCCACCTCCAGACCAGCCCCTCTCTTGTGAGTCAAAATCTTTAAGTGACAGCCCACTTTTTTTTTTTTTTTTTTTTTTTGTCACTGAGCAAGTGGACCAAATTGACCCCTACTGTGCTGGGCTGAACATTATCTGTGGTTTTGCAAGTCTGCTCTCCTGGCCCCGCCTCCCCCTTCTGGTTGCCACCCACCTTCACCCCAGCCTCCATCCCTCCACTTTCCTCTGGCCACCACTTCCTGCCTGCCCTTCAGGGCACTCCCTCCTCAGTGCTCTCCGCCCTCCTGTTCTCACCCCCTCCCATCCAATCTAAATGGGACACATTATGCAGATTGCAATCCAGCCTGAGCTGGAGCCAGGGCTGGTAGGGAGCAAAGAGGGTGTAAGATTTCGCAGGATCGTCAGCGCATCTGGCAGGCCCTCCTGGCAGGCAGGTCTGGCCCCCTGGCTCCCTTCCTGCACCCCCAGCCCTCACCCAGACCAGGTGTCACAGGAGGGTCTTCTCCTACTTTGCCTCTGGCTTCATCTTTCGCTACCCCTTGGCTTTGACCCTCCCTTGAGAACTTCTGTGGTTTCTAGAGAAATCCCCCTACACTAGTGTAGACTGCAGTTTGCAGTTTGCAGATGGCACAGGATGCTTTTGAAGGTTGAAGGTAGTCACAGGATGGAAGAAATCCAGGACAAAATTATCTCTAAACAAGTCATTAAATCTGTAGGAAACAAAGGCCCAACAAGGTCAATGTTTTGCCCAAGGAAATAAAGTGAATTCTGCTACAGTTGATTGTTTGCTTTTCTTCTTCTCCAAGCACGAACATAACACAGTACCTGGCATGTCGTAGGTGAAAGACTATTTGTTTGCTTGTTTGTTTGTTTGTTTGTTTGTTTGTTGAGACAGAGTTTCACTCTTGTTGCCCAGGCTGGAGTGCAATGCTGCAATCTCGGCTCACTGCAACCTCCGCCTCCCGGGTTCAAGCGATTCTCCCGCCTCAGCCTCCCCAGTAGCTGGGATTACAGGCTAATTTTTTTTTTGTTTTTTTAGTAGAGACAGGGTTTCACCATATTGGCCAGGCTAGTCTCAAACTCCTGACCTCAGATGACCCAAAGTGCTGGAATTATAGGCATGAGCCACCTTGCCCTGCCGGCCCGGTGAATGGCTGATGAGTAAGTGGATGGATGACGTAACGTGTGAGGGAAAAGGGGAATCCAAAGGTGGAAGAAGGAGTGTATGAATTACTACGTGGCGAGAACTTGGATACATTTCAGTTCTCAGGTTTTTACTATCCTCCGTGGACCAAGAGGTTTGTATAAGACCACAGGGGGTCAGGAAGTTGAGCTAGAGGAGGGGGGTCTCTAGAAAGAGACGCAGTCACTGGAGGATGCTGTGGGGAAAGTTCTGTAGAAGCTCACTTTGCCCCATCTCATCACCTCTCCAGGACCTCTAGGAAGGAAGGAAGGAAGGAAGGAAGGAAGGAAGGAAGGAAGGAAGGAAGGAAGGAAGGAGGGAAGGAAGGAAGGAAGGAGGGAGGGAGGGAGGGAGGGAGGGAGGGAGGGAGGGAAGGAAGGAAGGAAGGAAGGAAGGAAGGAAGGAAGGAAGGAAGGAAGGAAGGAAGATGCACGACGTAAGATTTTTTAAAAATACGCACCATTTCCACCACCTAAAGTTGGGTAATAGTGAGATGGAACAAAAGCAGGAGCTGAGCCTTAACCACATCCAAGGCAAAAGACTTACAAAAGCTGGAATTGGCCAGGCAAGGTGGCTCATGCCTATAATCCCAGCACTTTGGGAGGCCAAGGCAGGAAGATCGCTTGAGCCCAGGAGTTCAAGACTAGCCTGAACAACATAGCCAAGACCCTGTCTCACGATATATATTTTTCTTAAGTTACTACGAAAGCTGGAATCCATTGTCTGGAGGGAAAGTGGATCAGAAAATCATCTGCAGAGATCAGGGAACTCAAACTCAAATACCTGCACAAAAAAAAAAAAAAAAAACAGGCCAAGAGTGCAGTTTGAGACAACAGAGAATGGTAAAGACTGTGGCAAACTGGAGGGTGCCCATTCCATCATAGGGAGGCCTCTTCAGCTCTAGTCTCTGGTTGCCATGCAGAAAGCTGGACCCCAGCATGACTGTGTCTTAGGATTTTTCCAAGACAATTTCAAATGATGGATTTTTGTAAGAAATTTTCATACTTGTAAATTTTGGAAATCAATTATCATTTCAAAAAAAAGCACAGACCATGGTAAGTAAAACATGTTTTTGGCCCCCGAGTTTGTGTTCTTTATACAGGAGCTTGCCAAGAATAGAAGGCAGCAGAAGAACTGAGAGGATGGGCCAGGAGGAGGAGACATAAAATGCAAAGATTGAAAAAGCCTTAGAGTGCAGTGGGGAGATAGAGGAGAGAAGGCTGCAGAGAGAGATTAGAAAGATCCCGTGACCTTCACCTAAATGCAATGTGAAGTGATGAATATCTTGGTGTTTCTCGTGAGGACTACATGTTGCCCACTCACTGTGTCCCAGTCATTCTTCTAAACATTTTATACATTCTACATATATGTATTAGAAGCTCTTTTTATCATCAAAACAACATTAGGAGGCAGGTGCTCTCATTAGCCTCAATTTACAGATGAGGAAACTGAGGCACGCAGAGGTGAAGCAACTTAGCCAAGATCACCCAGCAGTAATGAGCCAGAATTTGAACCAAAGCTGTCTTGAGCCCATGGACTAAACCACCATGCTCCCAAAGAAAAACGCCCAATCCTTTTGAAACTGAGGGGTGTGTCATCTGTTAAGCATTACAGAAATGTAGGGTGATGCTAGGATACCTGTAATTTACCTTAAAATAAGTTCTCCCGGGTGAGATTTTAAATAGATTGACTATTTAGAGCCACGTCTCACATTGATTAGACAGGGCATAAGAATCCTGCAGATAATAATCTGTACACTTAGGGTTAGCACCATAGACTTGATCCAGAAGCCACCCTGGATCTAGCCATTGCCAAAGAGAATTCCTGGGTGCCTGGTGCCAGCTAGAAAGCTAACAGGACTCTGCCTTTGGAATCTTGGCATTCTGCAGAGTGGGGGCTGGGACACCCAATAGGATCCAGAACTGGGGCTCCCTCCACCTCACAGTACACAGGGTAGGAATTGCTTGGGGCCTCTTGCCCCTGCATTTTTGGCTAATGAAGTTCTGCGCAGATGGCAGAATGGTTTTCATTATATCCCAACATTCATTCATCGTATCACGATTCATTCATCATATCCTGATATAATAGTTTCATTATATCCTGACATTATATCCTGGGTAGAAATAGTTAACCATTGGCCACATCAGACTTCTTCAGCGGTAAGCTATCTTTACCTATCAAAGGGGACCTAGGAGTTGTGCAGGGACCAGTTTGGCTCAGGTCAGGTCATAACAGATGTCCCTTTTAAGAGTAAACATTACTGCTTGGGACATTCCAGGATAAAGACCAAGTTTGAGACACCTAGTGATCCCAGTTCTGCCACGATTCTCCCAGAAAGACGCAGATGTCTGTGCCCTTTGCAGCCAGAAATACAGAGAGAGGGGAGCTAATGAGCTTGGCGTGTCCCTGAAATCAGGTCCCCATCTCCCTCCCCTCAGCTGTTCCCACTGGAATGCTGAGCCAGACAGGAGCCTGGAGACCCCCGTGGGAAAGGATATGGATCCATCGCTTTCATCTGCCGACCTCCAGGATCTGTGCCCTGGAGGGGGTAAAAAGCGGTTAATCTCACTAGTTACCAGACTCATTGAGAGGGGAGGGAATTGGGGGCCAGGGCTGGGAAGAGGCCACCGTTTGGGACCAGAGAGGGTAGAGTGCTGATAAGATCCGGCCTCCAACCAGGAACCAGCTGTAGCCAGATGACCTGAGTGCCCCCTGCAATGACAGCCTGAAGTGAGCAGAATTAGCCAGCTCACTCCTCATCCCGCCTGATCTAATCTGTCCCTGTTCCACATTGCATCATTCCACACAGAAGAAAGACTGGAAAATGAGACCAGTAGCTGAAGATGAACCGTGTGTGTCCTGGGGCTCAAAAGTGTGTGGTTCCTGGGCCTCACAGACTAGACATATACAAGGCCTAGGACAGATACCTTCTTTTCATTTCTGCCCCCGACCCTACTTGGCACCTGGTAAAAGTCTGTTGAATTAAAGCAATAGAAACACACTCAGGAGAAGGGTGTAAAGACTTGGGTCTTCACCCCAGAGCCGCTCTACTGCATTAACAAGGTGACTTTTGCTAAAGTGATCCAGGAAAATCTACTCTGAGCTATCGGGCAAACCAATAGCTAAGGCAAGTCTGTTGGCCAGGGTGCCCAGAGCTGGCCTGCCCCGGAGAGGCCTGAACAGGTTTCCTGGGGAACTGCCCTCTCTCTCCTGGGTGATTTCTTCAGAGCATTGTGATGAGACCGAGATGAATGACACCTGGCAGAAGAGCACTCCAGACCTGCTAGTGCCCTTTGAGGACAGCCCAGACTTCTGGGAGACCTCTGGAGTCAGTGGTTCAATATCCCTCACCCACCCTACCCCCAGGTTCATGCCTGGTGTAAAAAGCAGAGCCTGACTTGGCCTGTGCCCAGGGACATGCTGGCTGTGTGTGCTTTGTGAATGCAAGTTTTCTGTGTGCCACGAGGCCACTTGGATGTGAATTCTGTAGGTGCTTGTGAGCAGGCTGAACTTGTGTGT